GGTCTTTTTACCCTAACTGCCTAGCCAATTCCTACTTCCTATTCTTATAATGCCATCCTCTGAAGGGGTTACCCAAATTGCCAATAGGGAATAGGGACGCAGACTGCTCTGGCTTCTTCCATGCTGAACAGGGATGCAGGGTGAGGAAATTGGGGTACCCCTTCAGTGGGTCTATCTAAAAGACTCCCAAATTGCACAACTTTTGTCTCTAAGGGGAGAAGAAAGTCCTTGAATCATGAATGGGAGATGTGAAGGAGAAGTAAAGGCAAGAGGAATTAGCATTACAAGTTCAAGACAACTAGAAAAAAGTCAAAACAGGGCAATTTTGAACCAAGGACAAGGTAGAACACAGAGAGAGTTTATAAGTAGGAGCCAATACTGGTAACAGGAGTAAGATTTGGGTGGGGGACCACTGGCATTTACTGGACAAGAGCCGGGAACACCATACTCTCTACACCCTAACATAATCTTACTTGGCAAAGAATTTTCCCATATACTACCTGGCTTGCTGGATATTCAGACAGGTGGAAAAATCAATAACTGCGTATCTAAATCTATATCCACATTACATATGAATTCAAAAATATTTCATATACTTTTAATGTCTACCAAACTCCACAGGATATTTGTTATTGAGGAAAGATTACAAATGTATTTGCTCAGGTCTTTTCCAAGAGTTGCTTATCATTTTGGAAAAGGGGAGGATACAGCAGGACGTGGAGACTTCAACACCAGGAACCTCGTCGTCACCACTGTCTCTGGCTTGGGAAAGACAGGGCCAAGCAAGAGCTGCAAGACACGTGGTCTGATGCTTGCCTGGATAATTTCCAAGCTTGGGTCCGGTCACCACAACTGTGCAGGATGGGAGCATCCCTTCTCCAAGTGAGAATGTGGGAAGTGACTGGGATGAACCTTGTCCAAGGCCACTAGGCCATGGAGGAGCCAGGAGTTGGTCTCTGCTGTTTGCTGTGCAGACCCCTTCACTGAGCTTGTTTCTGTTTGTACTACCATTGAATGTGTGCTTAGATCCCTTTCTGGTGATGGCCACAAGCCTCATGCTGAACCTGCACCACCTGACTGTGCTGAGCCGTTCTTCCTCCTGGCTTCCCTGTTCTGTGTCAGTTGTCACTGGCCTTGGCCTCTGTGGGGAAAATTCCAGAACTTTATAGGGAATTGAAACCCTGAAAGGCAGATGTAGGGGCTGGAGAGATGGTTCTTTGGTTAAGAGCGCTGGCTGCTCTTGAAGAGGATCTAGGTTTGGTCTCCAGCACTGACATGGCGACCATCGACCATCTGTAACTCCAGTTCCAGGGGATCTGATGCCCTCTTCTGACTTCTGTGGCACTTCACACACAGGTGCACTTACATTCAGGCAGGCAGTACACTCATACACATCAAATAAAAATTAATAAAAATTTAGGTAAATTAAAGAGTGCATATATGTTAAAAGAAGACGAAAACTGAGTTTCAATTGTAATCCTCGCCTTTGGGAGGCAGAGGCTGGAGAATCACCATGAGTCGAGGGTCAGTTTGGTTTGCACAGAGTACTAGGCCAGGACTACAAAGGAAACCATGCCTCAAAAACAAATGAAGCAAAATAA